TATTCTTCAGGGTTCTCCCCAGCAGACAGAGAGTGCTGGACGGTATGAATATTCATGAGCTCATTAATATGCATGAACTCATTAGTATCAAAATGGCCGCAGGGAATGAGTATTTCTTTCAACAGGAGTCAAAACACTAATGAGAACACAGGTCATATGTAATGATATTTATTATACAATATGGAAGATTACAACACAACACAGGATAAATAATACACAAACAAATCATCTTTGAAAACATGATGCATTACAAATTGAAGGCACAAAATAATTACTACAGTTACAATATGAAATATGTTTTTAAATTAATGTGGTTTTATGAAGTCAGCCAAAATAAAATAATGCTTCAAAAAACTTATTTTCTGTATTTTTGTTTTGAGAAAAATCAATAGCTACTGGAAATTTAATGTTTGTATTTTTTGTTTTTAAAAAAATGCTGTAGCCAAACGAAAATATTAAAGTGTGAAAATATTTTGTTATAAAGGCGGTCAAATTGGTTTGTTAAAATCTACACGCTTACTTCAACGATATGCGTCTATTTTTCATCTCTGCCCATCTCTTCACGGCACTTGAGTAGTTGTATGTGTCCACAGATGGACCGTCAACAGCAATTCTAATTAAACTGTCAAGACTGTCTTGACCCAGGCGATTTCGTGGAATTGTTTTTACCAATTTTAATTGAGAAAAAGTTCTCTCGGAGTCGGCGGTATGGCATGGCAGAACGCGGTATATCTTGGCAAGTTGGACGATCTTCGGAAATCCGAATTGCAGCGACGATGTAGTACATAGGACATCGACGACGGCGCCAGGTGTCAGATCTGGTTGGTGTAAAATGGTGTCTTTTAAATAATTTTTGAAGTTGCCCCATTCATTCACGGCGTCTGCTGTAATGTCAGGCTGCTCCTCGCGTTGGAGAAAATGATGGGACAGTTCTCTCACATCGGCGTTGCCATACGTAGTAGAGCTATCTCGGCGTAAACTATCGGGCTTGAATATACTAAAATGTCCGAGGATACCGCTATCTTTGTCTGGGAATCGTTGTTCGATGTTTGTAATCAATGTATCAATGTACTTCCCGCGGACGCTGTTCTTGAAAAAAATTGCATCATCGGCACGTGTTTTCACTGTGATATCAGATTGTTGCAATTTGTTGATCAAGTCGGGTAACTGTTGTAGGTTTTCGCCGTCGTTGTGCTTCATGTCGGTTATTGTAGTAATGGTAGAACGGACCAATGGTTTCATACTACTATATTCAAACTCGCTGGCTTGAAATGCCTTAGAAAGCCTGCTCACGTGTGGCAAGAGGTCGCACATTAGCAACATTGTAGCAATGAAGCGCCAGGACGACATAAGATTTTGGAGTCCAACTGCTTTTGCATCACTGCGTTCCTCTCCCTCACAGTCGAGACTCATCAGCACGGAAGCAAAAATATTCTTCAATCTGGTTACTGACAGATCGACACTGAGCCAGCGTGTAGATGATGGTTGAAGTAGTTTTAGTTCTTGCTCTCGTAGCGTAGTCTGGATAGCACTGAGCCCCGCTGAACGAACAGCACTGTTGTCAAAATAGTCATATAGTTGACGTAGAATCGACACGAATTTCTTTACATACGGTACTGCATTTGCGGCCTGTGATGATGCTAGTTGCAATCGGTGCGCACAACAGTGAATTCCGATTGCAGTAGTAGCTATTTCCTGCAATCGTTTTACAACACCAGATCGCTTGCCGGTCATAACAGCGGCGCCGTCTGTTCCCACGCCAACCAATTTTTCGTAATCGAGTTCATTTTCCCGGAAATACGTTGTCACATGCCTGGTGATGTTTTCTGCGTTTAGTGTTACAGTATGAATGTCGTCAGCGTCTGGTTTCAGTGGCTCGACCATCTTCAAAAATTTTACACGTAAATGTCTAGTTGAGTCCAAGTACCAACAGTTTAATGTTAATTGTTCGCCGACACTCACATCGGTGGTCTCGTCCAGCATAATTGAATAAAACTCTGACTGCTTCAACTCGTTGATTGTTTTGTCTTCTAGCACTGATGATAAAATAATTATCATTTCGTGCATGGATCTCTCGCTGCAATATGTGACACTCTTACTGACGTGTAAATCTGCTTTCACTGACATTCCAAGTTGAGATAATAAATTCAACACTGGTTCAAAGTTTGTTGTATGCGGTATACGACGCTTGGCGAGGAAATGCATAACTTTAAACGCAGAGGTGATGGCATCTTTTTTCACTTCGGGTTGAATAACTTCGCCGATGTTTTGGCTGGTAGCGGAAGTCATCTCACGTTTCACGGCGTCTCGATGGGCTGATATCTGCTCGTGGTCCTTTATGCTACTCAGACGAATTCGTTTACATGCAGTTACATTCCATGTATCACGATCAAACGGGCGCTTGTTGAATTTTTGACACAATCGGCAAAACATCCCTTCATCATAACGACAGTAAAGCCACGCCTCACGACCTCTGACCCATTCGTTGCGGAAACCTGAAGACTGTTTCCGTTGTTGTGGTGATTTTGTATGATCTTCGTCGACGTCTACTCTGGTTTTCTTCTTAGTAGGATCGTGGTTTTCTTCATTCTCTTCGCTGGGTTTCTTGCGTTTGCTGGACGTAATGAACTTGAGCATATTGGATAGATAAGTACGGTGTTCTCTCTGGCTAGACAATCATAAAATGATGCAGTTCAGCACGATTGCTGTGTTTTTATACACTCATTTTCAATAGATTTGACTTGATTGACGGGAAAATTCAATTGTTTGTATTTTGCGAGTATGTCATTTTATCGACTTCACGGATAAAATAAAAGATCGTTTATCACGTCAAGGAAAGCGGTAACACTTGTTTTCTTTCATGTAAACGTGACGTCGGGCCTTCACTCAGACCGGGCAACTTCAATGCGTTACCGCCGTGCTAAGTATGGTTTCACACTTACGAGTGTTGATTGCCATTGGGCCTCTTATGTCGCCAACTCGTTGAGTTGAGTTTCACGCCTATTGTTTTTTTTAATGAGTGACATAACCCAAGCTTTGATTATCCGCCCCTCTCAAACATTCTTTTGTCTTCCAGCGCTCTCGTTGCGTCATGAACAAAAACAATAGTGCCGGACGGCAGCCATGTGTGCCGGTCGCTAATTCTGAGTGCCGGACGGCCCCGTCTACCGCCGTCCAGCGTGGGGAGAACCCTGTATGTTTGTCACCCCGTTTCGTTTCGTTTCGTTTCTTCGATTACAATAAACTTTGTTTAGGATACGGAAGTTGATTTGGTATATACTCGTACCAATCAATCTCTTCACATCAAACACACTGTTTTCACGTTGGACGTCAGTTC